CTGGGGAGGCCCTCAGAGGCCCGGCGAGGCCAGGAGGCCTGGGGAGGCTATGGAGGCCCGGAGAGGCCCATGGAAGCCGGGAGGCCGTGGAGGCTCCTTCACTGGTAGATGACCTTCACACAGAACGTCTCCTCGTTCTTGTCCTCGTGGTCGTTGATGTGGATGAGCACCTCCCGCTCCCCGGCCCTCCGACTGGGCGCGAACAGCAGGTCGATGGTGTAGGTCTCTCCGCCCGCGACCTGGAACAGGCGGCCGTCAGCGCCCAGCCCAGCGCCCGCTCCTCCAGCACCTCCACCACCACGTGTTCCCTCCAGCCTGGGCTGTGTGACCCACAGAGCACCTTGGCCTGGCTCCTGCCTCGGCCGTGGGCTGGGGGCTCCTCCAGGCACCAGCTCTGAGCTGCGGTCCCCCTGCTCCTGTGAGGCCCACATGACCGCCTTCCACAACCCGGGGACACTCCCAGCCACAGAGGCACCCCCTCTGGCTTCCTGCCACCTTCCCTCCAACGCTCAAGACAGACAAGGGTCAACGTGGGGCAGTTCTGGTAAAACTATGGAGAAACCACAGGTTGGGTGGGTCTCAGGCCCGATCCCTGAAATGTCGCCTGGACGCGGGGGTCTGAGACGAAGCAGTGGCGCTCAGCGGTGCCCTCCCCCCACACCCTCCCAAGCACCGCACCAGAGCGCAGCCGCCCAGCTCGCCGCCCAGGGCTCGGTGGAGACACCACTACCCGATGGCCTGGCTCCTACCTCCGTCCCCAGCTCAGGCCTCAGGCCCCAACCCGCACGGTGCCCACCTGGAAGGTGTCCTCCGTGAACTGCAGCAGATCGGGGTGGTCGCTGTGCAGGCGGTAGGCCCGGCGGAAGGGGTAGGGGTTGGTGTAGGTGATCTGCTTGTGGGCGCCCTTCCCCTCCCCCGCGGCCATGGTGATCTCGAAGGCCTGTGGGAGGGCGGCATGGGCGTGGGCTCCTGCAGGGACTCCTGAGCCCGCTCTGCGGGGGGCCCAGCAGCTGGGACATCTGCACAAGCAGGACAGACAGCCCCCCCTCGGGGCTCCCAGGGGAGGGGCCCCCAGCACAGGAGCAACCTCTCCCCCCACCCAGGGCCAGGAGGATGGGAGGAAGCTCCTGCCTGGAGCCGGGCCTGGTGGAGGGACCAGGTGACCACCGTGCGCCCACGCCTGTGCCCACGGGCGCCCCCTCCCAGACCTTGGAGATGAGAGGCGGCCGGCAGGAGAGGCACACGAGCCAGGAGGCCACCAGCTGGTGGAAGTCCACGTCGACCACATTCAGGTGCAGGAGGCGGC